TAATTTTTAAAAAAAAAATTAACGCGGGGCAGTGCGGGTCGCGGGTCGCGGATTTTTTAAAACCAAAATCTTGAACTAAAGTCTAAAACGGTACCAGCCTACCAGATCCTAAATCTCGAACTAAAACCTAAATACAGTCACGACTCACGTTGTCACACCCAGGCCACAGCGCACTCAGCCCGTCGGCCGTCGCCGGAGTGCCTCCCATCAGCCTTCCATCAGCCCTCACCGACTCTCTTACAGACTGTAAGTTACAGTAAGCCATCTGCCTTTTGTAGCCATGGCAGACTTGCCCATTTTTTGATGGTTTTTGGACAAATCCGAGCCTTATTTCTGTTAAACTTTGAATTCCTTTTACAAACTTTGAATTTCTGTTACATGGGACTTCCAAGCCCAATAGTTTCTGTTACTAGAAGTACTTAGGTTGTGGATTCATAAGAAAGGTGAATAATTTATTCACTGATTTTGTTGACCCTATCAAGTTCTTTTAGTGTTAAGGTAGTTAAATTCTTTGGTTCCTTAATTTGGTGTTGTACGATATATGATCAGGGTTTTTTAGGACTTTTAACTGTTAGTTATAGCTGCAGTCTTTGGTTCCTGAACTCTTTGGTGTACAGAATAAGATAAAGTTCTTTATAAGAATCATAAGATAATGTTAAAGATTTTTTATCACTGTTTCTCTAGCTTGCTTTTAGTTTAAAGACAATATCACAATACTGAACTAGAATTGGCAAGGTGTGCCAGGTCAAGTTGAGTCTCAACGCAAATACTTTGTTAGCCAATACCAACTTCATCTCTTGCTTTTATCTTTATTTTTGTAGAAAAGTATGGAGTCTCAAGGCGAACAAAATCCAATGTGTTCATCTTCAAGTACAATTCCTATTGAGATTGAGAGTCGAGGGCTTATGCAATCTGATGAAGTTAATATGGAAGTTGTTGATGAAACAGGTAAAAGAAAACTTAGTTCTGATGCATGGAAATATTACAAAGTGGTGAAGCTTGATGGTGCTCGCTTTGGTGTTTGTAAGTATTGTAACACTCGTATCAATTCAACAAGAAAATGTGGGACATCATCTTTATGGGATCATATTCGTAGATGTCGTAAAAATCCAAGTAACTTAGAAGACGGGGGTGGTTTGGGGGGTGATGATGGTAGCCAACAACATTATTTTGATCAAGATATTTCACGTAGGGAACTTGCTCATGCCATCATTTTGCATGAATACCCTTTGTCGATTGTCGATCATGTTGGATTTAGGAAGTTTGTTGCTAGTCTTCAGCCATTGTTTAAAATAGTGTCTAGGAACACAATCAAGAATGATATTTTGAAGATTTTTGACAATTTAAAATCAAAAACTTCTAAGTTGTAGGAAAAACTCACAAGTAAAATTGCAATAACAACTGATATGTGGACTTCAAACAATACAAAAAAAGGGTTCATGGCTATTACGACACATTTTATTGATGATTCATGGGGCTTCAAAGCCATATTCTTAGATTTATTTATGTTCCTGCTCCACATGATAAGGATACTTTGTGTAGTGTATTGCTTAATTGCCTGTTAGAGTGGAATCTTGAAAGAAGAATATCAACAATTACAGTTGATAATATGAGTTTAACTGACACCAATTATCATTGTTTTCCAACCGAAGGGCAATGGAGTGCATCACATGAAGTTTGTGAAAAGTTGCAGCTGTTTCACCGTATCACTGAACAATTCTCGGGGAGTCAATATCCAACTTCAACTCAATACTTTTCAAAAGTTTGTGATATTAATCTAGAATTGGAAGCTTGGGTGAAAAGTTTAAATCCTTTGATTAGCTCTATGGCATCATCAATGTGGTTGAAATTTAAAAAATATTGGGATGATATGCATATTTTGATGGGGGTAGCTACTATCTTTGATCCGAGATTTAAGATGAAGTTGGTTGAGTTCTATCTTGCACAAATTTATGGTGAAGAAACTTTACATAAAATTCAAGAAGTTCGAAACCATTGTTTTGATCTCTTTCAAGAGTATACGAGCAGAGTGGTTGCTTCACATGAGTCATTTCAAGCATCTAGTTCTAATGAAGTTGCTGGTGTTGTTGAGGGTGATCGACTGTCTAGTTTCGATAGATTTGTCGCTTCGAGTAGCGCGAATGTGGACCCAAGATCGGAGTTGGAGTCATATTTAGAAGAAGGTGTGCTACCTCGTACGCCATCATTTGACAGTTTAAGCTGGTGGAAGACAAACAGATTAAAATTTCCTACTTTGCAAAAGATAGCTCGTGACCTCTTAGCCATTCCTATCTCTACCGTTGCTTCAGAATCGACCTTTAGCACTAGTGGGAGATTGATTAGCCCGCATCGTAGTAGACTTCATCCTACTACTTTGGAGGCGTTGATGTGTGCTCGCACTTGGTTATGGAACGAGATAAATGGTAAGTAACTTTTTTACGATTTACTATGTTAATAATAGTATTCACTTTCTTATACTATTATACTTTTTTTTAGGTTCGTGTTCAAGCATTGATAGAGTTTCATGTCCGACGATGCTTGATGAAGAAGAAGATCCAGATGTTTCGGTTGCTTGATAACTGAAGGAAGTCGGAGATGCATTATTTCTGATGAAGAAGAAGATCCCAATGTTTTAATTTTTGCTTTGTTGTAACAGACTAATCAGAGTTCTCATTTAGTATTATTTCTGCTGCGACTGG